CTCCCATTCCTCTTGAAATTCAGGCCATGAGAATAGTTTTATACATCCCAATTACTATAAACAGAGAAGTTATGTACTTGGCATAACTACCCTGATATTGCTTAAAATGTGTCTGGAATTCCACTAACACTTTCAGAAGTGCCTTTCTACAATCTTCCCCCCCCCCAATTAGTTTTATTACTTTACAGTCACATTTCCTCTTTGACTAAAACTATATTGCCTAGCTTGATCACCTATCTCAATATTAATAATAATAGCTAACATTTCCTAAGTATTTACTATGTGACATGCACTGTGTTAAGGGGTTTTCCATATATTCTCTGATTTAATCCTCAAAACACTAATGAGGAAATATTATCATTACCCAGTTTTACTGATAAGGTAGCAAAGACTTAAGTAACTTGCCTAAGGCCACATACATATTAAGTAAAAGACCTACATTTTGAGCTCAAGTCTGTCTGAGTAAAAAAAAAAAAATCCTCCTATTATAACTCTTAGCCATTCATATGATAGGCTGACACTGGAGAGGAGAGTGAGATGTTTTAGTTTAAGGGGACTATAAAATGAAAATGACTTTAAAAATAAATGTATGAGAATTTATATATCAAATATCTGAGAATCACTTCAAAATAATCACCATTAGAAGCTCTAAAGTTTTGGGCAGTTTTCTTATGGAACAGTTTCCATTGCTTTTTACCAGTCTTTTAAAGATCACCAATACTCACACACACAAAAAAATAGTTCATCTTTTGAAGATAATTTCTTTTTTTGAAAACAGCTTGGTCATTTGGAACCAACTCTCTAGTAAGTAAGAAATAGTGATTTAGAGTGGCATATCATGGTACTTGAGAGCATGGCTTTGAAGTATAATAGTACTACATTTGAGTCAGAGCTCTATTACCCTAATTTCTTCCAAATTATTTAAATTCTCAGCCCTAGTTCTCTCATCTGAAAAACAAGAAAAATATCTATCTCACAGCCATTGTAAATATTAAATAAAATATTGGAACATATAGCTGCTGGCTATATATAATATATACATAGTAAGCAATAGTTTTCTTTTCTCCACTCAGTTATTTTAATCATTACTTCAAAGTGTGAACCTCATATGACAAATCTGTCATTGGCAGACTTTAAGAAAGCAAGTAATGGTTCAGTTTATCCATGTTTCAACTAACATTTTTTTTGCTCTAAATTATTTTAATGTAAATAATTTTATGTAAGTAGAAATCAATGGGCAACTTACCTGTGGAAACCATCTTTCAAAACTTCTTGCCTCAAAATAATTTCAGAACAAGTGACTCGTATGCCTAGAAGAACCAAAAGATTTTTTGTTTTGTTTTGTTTTTTAAACAAAGTACTCAATGAAAAATTTAAGAAATTTGAGCTACATATAAATCTATTTCCAGTATAGCATAGAGGTTAAGAACATTGACTGTGAAGTTAGATTGTCTGATTTCCAATCCTAGTCTGTCACTTGATAGCTGTGTGACTTTGAGCACGATTGTTTTTCTCTCTGCTAGTTGTCCTACGGACTTAATATATGTAGAAGCACTTAGAACAGAGCCTACCACATAGTAGGTAAGAATTCGTTAGTAATATTACTTTATTCAGGTGATCCCAGGACATGAAAAAGGAGCAGAATGGCTTAAAATTCAGGAGATCTCTGTTTTAATCCTAGCTCACTGAAACTGTGTATAAGATATATGCTGGGAACTTCTGTATTCTAACATCTATACTTACAAAACTGGGAAGATAGTATGCCTTGTGCAGATGTTGGGAGGGTCGAGGAAAAAAAACAAAACAAAACTGGAGGCACTTAAAGGTTCAAAGGGTTCCTTTATAAACAAAACAACCAAAAATCTCACTATACTGACTCCCTGCAGAATTCAGACATTAAAACTATTACTCAATGTAAGCATCATAAAACTAAAAATTCAGTTACTATTGACCACCAACTCTGCCAGGCACCTTGCAATGAAACTTTGCCCCATTTCAAAAGCTGGAAGTGTGTTGGAAGAACGTTAAAACAAACACCCAGAAAACCATACATTATTGAATGTCTGAATTCATTAGATGTATTCTTGAAAATATGCTTTAAGAAAAGTGATGTGAATGTGAAACCATTTGAAAGAAGGAAAAAAGAACAGAAAAAATTACATTTGTTTAGTAATAGCTAAATGCCAGGTCCTCAAATTGGGGTATACATGTGTGTTTTCTTTTAACTTTCACAACCCAGCAAAATATGCTGAGAAAATTATTGCTATTTGCATGCAGGAGGACACTTTAACTTATAAAGGGTTACTATCTGGCTCTGGGTCATAAAACCAAGTAAGTGACTGATTAGAAGCAAGGTTTGCCTGACTTTTAATGCCTAAGATATTTCCACTATCCTAGCTATTTAAAGAAATCTTATTTGCTTTGGAGAAGCATATAAGCTTTCCCCCAAATAAACAAATACCATATGTATCTCTTGTACAAATTCAGATATCTCTTCGTCATGTTTAATTTTAATGGGGGTGTGGTGGGGAGTAAGGGTTAATATCTACCTGTAAATTAAATTAGAAGAAAAAAGTCATATTAATAGGCTTAAATTCTTTTTTTTTTTTTTGTTGTTGTCTTTTTTCATGTCCGGCAACGGATCGCCACCCTCAGTGTCGCGCACTGTACCGGACCGGGACCGGCAACGGGATCGCAACCCTCGGTGCCGTGTCCGGCAACGGATCGCAACCCTCAGTGTCGCGCCCTGTACCGGACCGGGACCGGCAACGGGATCGCAACCCTCGGTGCCACCTCCGCACCTCGCTCAGCCAGTGAGTGGGAACCGGTCTGTATGTGGGATCCGAACCCTCAGCGAGAGCGCCGCCGCGCTCCCAAGCAGCGCACTGCTACAGTGCGCCACCGGGCCGGCCCAATAGGCTTAAATTCTATTGGGATGTACACTGCAGAGTAGTAAATCATTCATCTTGGGATGGTAGAAAGGCTAACTTACAACAGCATAACAAATACTATTTTATTTATGATTTTTTTTTTTTGTCTTTTTTCAGTGTCCGGCAACGGATCGCAACCCTCAGTGTTGTCCCTGTACCGGACCGGGACTGGCAACGGGATTGCAACCCTCGGCGTTGCTCCCGTGCCTCGCTCAGCCAGCGAGCGGGAACCGGTCTGTATGTGGGATCCGACGGCGGAGCGCCACCACGCTCGCAAGCGGCGCACTATAGCAGTGCGTCACCGGGCCGCGGGACTGGCAACGGGATTGCAACCCTCGGCGTTGCTCCCGTGCCTCGCTCAGCCAGCGAGCAGGAACTGGTCTGTATGTGGGATCCGACGGCGGAGCGCCACCACGCTCGCAAGCGGCGCACTATAGCAGTGCGCCACCGGGCCAGCGGAGCGCCACCACGCTCGCAAGCGGCGCACTATAGCAGTGCGTCACCGGGCCGGCCCTATTTATGATTTTTAAGGCAAAAGCACCATTTCCAAAACGAATTTGTTGCATCTGAATTCACCTTCAAGATTTTTCCTCTTAAATATTACTTTATTTGGTTGTGATGGCCTGAATTCGCTCTGGAAATTGACCTTTAAATTATAAAATGCCAGTGGTGGAAGAGTCCTTAGAGATCATCACTCCAGTTTAAAATTTTTCTGGCCTCACAAACCTTCTTCAAATAAATTTGGAAACCTAATACGTAAACACCCCAAAGCAGACTGCACATATTGGCCGATACTAACCAGTCTTAACATCCTCATTTTACAGACAGAAAAACTCCCCTGGTTGGTGCCGATTTTCCTTCCCCTACCAAACGTTATAATTTTATTGTAATTACCTCTGCACGTGTCCGTCTCCCTTACTACACTGCAAGCTCCATGAGGGTCGGGGCCGTGTTTGACTCAGGGCTAGCTCCACAGCACTTTGCACAGCAGTGCGGCCCACGAACTTGGGCCCGAGGAAATGAATCAACTCGCTTACCCAGCCCGGAGTCATAAAGAAACCCCAGCCCAATCCAGTCTATTATCAAAGCTGTTTGGAACATAAAACTAGTCATTTTCCCCGGGTATCAATACTGTATTCTGTTTTGGGATTCTCACACCCCACAGGGCGCTGAGGCCTTGCTCGCCCCTTGGTGGTCAGAAGTTTCATGCGCCCCAACAGCATCCCAAATGTTTCACTGGCTGTACTTCCTTTTCAGTACCTTTTTAGTAGTAGTACGGGCCAATCCCTCCTTGGAACGATAAAGCCTGACTCTCCAGGAGCCCAGGAACGGCCACAGAGCAAGGAGCACAGGAGGGCAATGGGGAGAAGAAAGGCACGCGGCCTTTGTTTCTAACCTCCTCCAGCTCACCCTGCCGTTCTAGGGTCCCACGCCGGGTATCCCAAGCACCTTTGCAAACCGCGGGGCAGATAGCACCCGGGGGTTGACTGCTCCCCATCCCTAGCCCCCAAATCCCGCCCGCACACCCACAGCCCCGCCCCTCCTTTTACCAGCGTCGGAGGGGGCAGCTGTGAAGGCCCCGGCTGGCGTGCAGATGTGCCCAGTCACCAGCCAGAGGAGCAGCCAGGCTACCGCCCGGACAGCCACGGCCAGGGCAGCCAGGACACCGGAGGGCCGACGCCCGAGAGGGGCGCGCGGGGACGAAACGCGGACCGAGGAAGGAGCCTGCACACGCCTCAGGCTGCTCCTACTGCGCGCTGCCACGGACTTAGTGACCGCGACGGAGGGCTTCGGTCTGCGGTCCCGCGGCTCCCCTGCTCCCCGCAGCCCCGACCCCCAGAAGTTGGGCGCCGCGTGAGGCAGCTGTCCAGGCTTCTGGGTCAGCTCCCATAGCCCGCCGGCGGGGGCGGGGCGAGGAGCGGCGCAAGCGCCGTGACGTGCCCCGGCCTGTTGCTGTGGGAACTGCTCCGAGGGCGCCCGGTCGGACCCTGAACCCGGCACGCAGTCTTGAGAGCCTGCTAGCCGCGCTCTGTGCCAGCCTCCATCTCCGCTTCCAAGTATTTGCGGGTTTGGGCCTCCTGCCGGGGAGTCCACCTCACGGTCAAGTCGCTGGGCTGTGGCTGTCGCCTCTTCCTGCGGCACCAGGCTCCGCCCGGCCTCAAAGTCGACTTAAGTGCTCCTCTATGCACTCCGGTTTGGTGGAAACACCCTCCTCACGGCGGTGTGGACGTTGGCCTGCAGGAGAAGATGCACTTTCTGGACTTCTGCCAGGGTAAGAAAGTCAGCCTTGAGCCAGTGGGGACATGAGGAGGGATAAGATCACCTGTCCATTGGGGAAATCCATACCTCATTAGCTGCTGTGGGAGGTACTTAGCAGGATTATGGCAGTCACTGATCCCTGGGGAGAAAGTATTCATGTCCAGGAAGAACATTTAGGTAAATATGCCGTCTGTTTTCCTGAGCTGAATGGAACTGTAAGCAGGCCTAGAGAGCGTCCAGTGCAGATGGGAAGAGAACAGAGGGCTCCAGGGCACCGTCTCAAAGAGGAAAGGGAGTGTGTCAAAATATACTATCTAAAACTGAAGATATTTTTGCCTCCTAACTTGAACCCTTTTGAGTTCCCACATTAAACTCTCTGGTAAAGGTGAAGTGACCATACTGGTACCAAGTAATCCCAGCTTCTTGGTCACAACTCATTGGACCAAAAGTGTTCTTCTGACCCAACCCGGGCCAATCATATTCTCTCTCCGTCAAAATCAAACCCAGGTATACTAAGAGAATGAACCATTTTGTAATAAATAACTAATCTCCAAAATAATGTGTTGTCGAGGTACATATCAGATCTAGAGTGTTTTGTCTTTCTTCTGGCTACTTGCTCGTAGGACCTAGTCAGGCATTCAAACAGCCATAAGACACTTTGAATAAAATTTGAGACATATGAACTAGACTAATTTGCCTTTGTGATTCACTAAACCAAAAGTTTTGGTCTATTATTTTACTGATGAGAAAATTATTCCACTTCGGCTCAACTGAGCACTTGGAAGTAGGTAGCTTCTATACAAGGCAAGTTGGGGCAGGACTTCATCTCCCATGAGTAGAAGGTTTAGATTCAGAGTGAATAGTACTACTAAATGTACTGATGTAGAAAACGGTTACTTATTGTCACCCAAAAGTATACGTTTTAGATTATATTGTAGGTTTTTGATGGAATGAATAAATTAATTTTCATCTAAAAAAATAAGGAAATAAAAATGAAGATAGCAGTCTAAGCATGTTATTAAGAAATATGGAGATAAATTTTGGAAGAAATGCCTTAAAAAAAATTGAAACCGGTTGCCTATGAAGACGGTAGGGAAAAGGGCATTAGTTCTTTGTTATAAGCCTCATAGAATTATTTTACATTCCAGAGTTCAAACATTACTTTAGTAAAAATGAAAGTTAAATTTTAAAAAGAGTCTGTAGTCAAAAAACTACATTATCGAGTATCAACTGCATACATCATTCATGAGTACAGCCATTTTCTTGAGTGTGGCATTTATATTGTGCTCAGTAGGATCTCCTAGGAAGTTTACTAACATCAAATTTTAGGCAAGTGAACTGGGAGTAGTATTTATAAAAAGAAAAAGAAAAAGAAGGGAAAAGAAAACGAAAGAGTGCAGTGGGATCATTGCATCAGATCACAGGCAGAACACAGTGATTTGAAAAAGCAGTTCTTTATATATGATTAATTTCCTAAGAGTAAAACTGCTTGTGTCCAATAGTAAGGGGTAAATAATATAGACTATTGGTATTATAGTACATCTCTAAGGCAAAACACTTGGCGGTCATATAAAAAAAATGCATTTTCATAAAATATTTGTGTGACAGAATAATTACATAAGTTATTAAATTTCAAAGTCAGGAAATAGTATGTATGATATAAAAAACATACTATTGTTTAAAAAAATAAAACTACATGCCTAGGAAAAAGACTGGAAGTAATCAAGGGTGTTTATGTCTTCCCCCTCCCTCCACCAGTTTTCTACAATGAACTTGTATAATCACTGTTAAGTATTTTTAAAAATTATCTTCCTATAGTGATTCTCCAACAGAACTGAGTTTACGAAGATATCATTGCCCTATGCCACTTTACCTGAAGGTTTCTTAACGTTTGCAAATCTTTCTGAGAATGTCATTGCCATATCTAAAGCAGTCCCTATAATTAAGTGATTTTTGGCATCGAGGGAGGGGAAGGGAAGAAAGAATACGAAGCATTAACTTGCATGTAGCTGCATTTCTTGTAACTGGAAAAAGATCATATAGTGAGACAAATAAGCTAAATTTAAAGCCATGTAAACATCACTGTCCTGCATATGTAGAGATTGATTGTACATCAGGTCTACCTTTTTGGTCAGGCTTCTGAACTCTAAATACGAGGGTACTTCAAAAAGTTCATGGAAAGATTTGTATTGTCTTCTAATTCTATTTTTCCACAAACTTTTAGAAGTATCCTCATACTTAGATGATGTATAGGGGCTGTGTCTTATATTAATACATAGCATTAGATAAGTATATATGGAATGCTTACTACGTTCCAGGTATTGTGCTGAGATAATGTGGTGAATAATGGATATGCTCCTGCCCTCATGGAGCATATAAAATAGAAAGGTAGATATGTGATTAAATAAGTAATTATAAAAAACTCAATGAGTAAAATAATTGGAAAAGTACAAGGAAGACAGATCTGATCTAGTGAGCCTGTCAGAAAAAAATGTTTAAGGTTAAAAAAGTCATAGTACCTTGGCATAGGGAGGGCTTGATAAATAGAAAAGACCCTGTAGATCAGTTCTTGGGCTGACTCAGGAGTTCACATACAGTCTTTGGTAAGAGTGTAGTACATAAAGAGATCCAAACTGAATTGCATTTCCAGGGTTACATATGAACAAAGCTACATCCTTAAATGAACCAGAGAATCTTAGAGATCCAAAAGACTGAGGCTAAACCAGGGCCATACTGAACTTTCAGGGCAGCCCTACAAGTATTGAGATTTACAGGCTAAGTATGTGTCTCTAGAACTAGATTACAGCCAGATCTGCTGGAGAGGAAGGGTAATGGGAGTGAGATTTATTCAATACCTTGTTCTTGTTTTTCCCTTTAGCAGAAGGAAGTCATTATGCAACTAACACATTTTCATCAGATTTCCTCTGATTTACCTTAAGTATATGTGGGAATGATGTGCACTGCCAAGAAATGTGGAATTAGGTTCCAGCCTCCAGCTATTATCTTAATCTATGAGAATGAAATCAAGGGAAAAAATCGCCAGCGCATCATGCCAGTCCGAAACTTTTCAAAGTTTTCAGGTACCTCATGTTTTATCTTGCCTCCTATTTTAGATATTCTCTAAATCACTTAATAAGAACAAATTGATGCATCTTAGTTGCTCTGGGGAAAAAAAGAACAACTTGAGTTTTGTGCAATGGAGTGACATGGGCTTCAGAATTAGACCTAGGTTCAAATTATGGCTTTATCAGAGTCTAGATGTGTGACACTTACTGTCAGTGAGGTAGGAAATTGTCAATACAGTTTCCTAATCTGTACAAGGGAATTGGTAATTTTTTTTCAGTTTGTTAATTGATAATTTAATCCTTTCAGGATTGTTTGAGTGGGTAAAATGAGATAGCATTATTCAATAATATTAATCCCCTTCTCTCCCTCCAAATGTTTTTTATTTGTAGTCTTGATATTTTATTAGTACCACTATTGCTATTTTTGCTATAATACCACTTTTTCTTCTCAGACATTTTCTCCAGTTGAAAGTATTTAGCATGCCCACAAAATGATTTTAAATTAAGGAAGTCAAAAATATACTCCTCCTTCCCCCACCATATTCAGAGCTCAATATAAAGGAATAGTTTTGCAAAATAATTCATTCCAATAAAGCCACTTAGCTTCTTGGCTACAGTGGAGATAGTGCTTTCAAGGTGCTAAGTTTTTTGTTTTCCTTTGGCCCTTGCAGTAGTTTGTGGTGCATCAATTGTTTGTGGTGTGTATGATGTATGTGGTGTATAGTTTTTTTCCTCTCTCCTAGATTGCACCAGAGCTGCTGGACAATTAAAGAATAATCCACGACATAAGACTTACCTGGAACAAGTATCCCTGAAGCAGCTAGAGAAATTATTCAGTTTTTTACAAGGTTACTTGCGGGGACAGAGTTTAGCAGAAACGATGGAACAAATTCAACGGGAAACAACCATTGATCCTGAGGAAGACCTGAACAAACTAGATGACAAGGATCTTGCCAAAAGGAAGAGCATCATGGATGAACTTTTTGAGAAAAATCGGAAGAAGAAGGATGACCCAAATTTTGTTTATGACATTGAGGTTGAGTTCCCACAAGATGAACAACTGCAGTCCTGTGGCTGGGACACAGAGTCACCTGATGAATTCTGATACCGAATACTCAAAAAATGTATTGGGCTAGCAGAATATCCATGTTTATACAAACATAGATTGGTTCTAGAAGAAGCTGTACAGAACACTAAATGTATATGTTGGGTCATAATTGGGTTGACCATGTTATTTTTCAAAACCAGGATATGTAGGTACATGAGGAACGTAGAAATCTGCCTTCAAGGAGCTTGTAATCTAATTGGAATATAAGTCAAAACCTTGTCTTTTTTTTTTTTAAAAGATGACCAGTAAGGGGATCTTAACCCTTGACTTGGTGTTGTCAGCACCACACTCACCCAGTGAGCGAACCGGCCATCCCTATATGGGATCCGAACCCGTGGCCTTGGTGTTATCAGCACCGCACTCTCCCGAGTGAGCCACGGGCCGGCCCCTAAGTCAAAACCTTGTGAAAAGCTAATTAACAGTAGTAGGCAGCAAAAGGAATAGAGCCAGATGCCTGATAAGGGCTAAAGAAAGTCAGATTATGGTAGGGTAGAATAGTCAGGGAAAACTTTGTCCTTTAGTGGAGAGAGAGGACTTTGCCTGGCCCTTGAAATGGTAGTATTTGGATAGAAGCTTGTATAGGATTCCAGATGAGAGCAACTGGAAAAAAGGGGAAGGGCGGTGGTAAAGAGACAAGAAATAGAAATTTTTATTTTAGGAACAGTGAGCAAATTAAAGTTTGACAAGATTGGAGAGCATATATGGTTATCAGGGAATTATCCTATATGCATTATGTCTTTATATGTATTTAACTGTTTTATATGTATTTAACTCTGGAGTAGAAGAGTACCCCTGTACAATGCCCTGCAGCTGCAAGGGGATGTCATTGATGGACAGCAGTGGAATTCTGCCCATCCGGTATCAGGAAATATATACTAAAGACATTCCGAAACCCTTAACCTCTTCTCATAAATGAAAGATTTGTTTATTGAATGGGAAATCCATCCATAATAAATGAACAATAGGCACTGCCAGTTTAGGCCTATTCATGACTTTGGATCTACAAAGAGAGGATCTTTGTTTAACAAAGTTATCTGTGTACAGATACAGTTATTCCTACCAGAATACTATTTAATTGGTAGAAATTCTATTTTGTACAAGGAAATTAGTATTCATCAAATAAAGCTGTAAAAATAATTACTCATATTTATACCTGTCCATCCCTACTCTGTTTACCATTAAATGCCCCATTTGAGGGGTCATTCTTGTAGTGATATCACCAGGGTCTTAAGATAGTCACATCTCATATGTATATTTTACAAAGGTAGCAAAAGAATTTTTAGAATTAGAGATCCATCCATATCTACACAGTATTCCACTTATTCCATTGTATAGATGTAGGTAATTTATTTTAAAAGTTGAACTTGGGTAGTTTTCTCCTTTCGTTATTACAAACAATATTACAACAAATAACCTTGTACATTCTCTGTTTTGCACATATGCAAGGATATCTGTAGGATAAATGCCTAAAGGGGAATTTCTGGGTAAATTTAATAGATATCTAAATTTTAATAGATATTAAGCTGTCCTCCGTAGAGTTTTGATGTACTCATTCATTCAGTGTATGTACTTAATGAGCACCTACTACATTCTAAGCCTGCACGATTCTAGGGTTTGGGGATAAAGCAATATACACAACAAAATCCTTGCCTTTACAGGGTTTACAGTCTGGTTGGAGAGGAGAGACAGTAAACATAAATGCATAGAATAATGTCAGATGATAAGTGCTCTGAAGCAAAAACAGGGCAAAAGACAAATGATAGAGAGGGTGGGAGCTACTATTTTAGGTAGGATGATCAGAGAAGGCCTCACTGAAGTAATGTTTTAGCAACGGCCTGAAAAAGGTAAGGAAAAATCGACGTGCATATCAGGATTATTGAGGAAAGGTAAGTGCATAGGCTCTGAGGCTGGAGTGTGATTGCTTGGTATATTTGAGGAAGGGCAGGAGGCCAATTTGGCTAATACAGATTGAGCAAGAGAGAAATGGTAGAAGATGAGGTTGGAGTGTATTTTACTAGATCATAGTACTTACCATGAAGGTCGTACCAACTTAAACTATCAGCAGTGCGTGAGAGTACTCGTTTCCCTTATATACTTATCAATGGAGAGAGTTATCTAACTTGTTCAGTTTTGCCAATTTTATAATTTAAAAGTGGTATGTCATAGTCTTAATTGCATTTCTCCTATTTTGAGTGGGACTATCTTCAGACATTTAAGAGCCATTGTTTTGTGAAATAACTTATGTCCTTTGCTCAGTTTTCTATTGGCTTGCTGGTCTTTTCCTATAGATTTATGAAAGTTTTTTGTTAAAGAAATTAGTCTTGGTCTATGATATGATTTGCAAATATTTCCACCTTGTCTTTTTTTTTTTTTGCTTTATTTATGATATTTTTTCCAGGCAGAATTTTAAAAATGTGTTTAAATTGACCAATATTTTTCTCTACTCCTCTGCACTTTTATGTGGACGGGCATTCTTCACTCAAAGATTGTTTTAAACATATTTTCTATATACAAATTTATTTCGGTATAAGATGTGAGATGTGAATCCCACTTTATTTTTTTCCAGATGACCATCAAGTTGTCCTAACACCACTATCTATTGAATTACTTATCATACCCCATTGATTTGAAATGTCACCTTTGTCATATACTAAATTCCAATATGTATCAAAATAGTTATCTTTTGATGATGTTAATGTCATCTGCAGCACTCTTTCCAGTTGATGTTTTTTGATATTTATTGAGTACATCTCATCTGTCTGCTAAATTAAGATACAAAATAGACCATAACTTTTGCCTTGGAGGGTTACATAGTTTGGCCAAAGCAACAGAATTAACATATATGAAATAGAGATAGTAATTATAACTAGAGCAAAAGGGAGAGGTCATGAGTTGAGCAGTTATTTTTTCTCCATGCATCTTGTTCTGTCCAAAGTTAATTCCTCTACTGATTTTTTTTTTTTTTTTTTTTTGTGACCGGTAAGGGGATCACAACCCTTGGCTTGGTGTTGTCCGCACCACGCTCAGCCAGTGAGTGCACCGGCCATCCCTATATAGTATCCGAACCTGCAGCGGGAGTGCCGCTGCGCTCCCAGCGCCGCACTCTCCCGAGTGAGCCATGGGGTCGGCCCCCTCTACTGAATTTTTAAAAAATTTTTCAGAATAAAAGTAATACATTCTCATTATTTTAAAATGTTAAACAAATACCAGAGTGTAAAAGTTAAATGAGAAAATTCTCCCTTTACCTTCTTCCCCCAATTCCTACTCTGCAGAGAAATTGGATTCCCTGGATGGATCTGGATCCCTTCTCTTGTGACCTAGCTCCATCAATCATTCTTTCTCTGTCCCTTTCTCTCTCATTTTCAGCTTCATTCTCTTTGCAGGCTTATTCTGTGCAGTCTATAAACATATAAGTATGCAAGACTCTTCCATATTAAAACAAGGAAACACTTGACTTCACCTTGAGTCTCTCTTTACCTACTACTGTATCTAACCAAATTTTAGTTCATCTAGATATTAGATAAATCTATAAACACTCTCTCTCTCTCTCTCTCTCTCTTTCTGACAGATCTGGCTCAAGTCCAGTTCTAGAGACACATGCTCAGCCTCTGAAGTTCAATACTTCTAGGGCTGCCTTGAAAGTTCAGTATGGCCTTGGGTTAGACTCAGCCCATTGGATCCCAAAGATTCTCTTGTTCTTTGAAGGACATAGGTTTGTTCACATGTAGGGCTTGGAATGCAATTCAGTTTGGACCTCTTGGTGTACTGCACTTTTTTTTTTCTTTTGGTCTTTTTTGTGACCGGTAAGGGGATCGCAACCCTTGGCTTGGTGTCGCCCGCACCGCGCTCAGCCAGTGAGT